CTCTACCACTGAGCCACACCCCAGCCCCTCACTGGGGGATTCTAGGCAGGGGCTCTACCACTGAGCCACACCCCAGCCCCTCACTGGGAGATCTAGGCAACAGGTTCTACCACTGAGCGACACCCCAGCCCCTCATTGGGGGATTCTAGACAGGGGCTCTACCACTGAGCCACACCCCAGCCCCTCACTGGGGGATTCTAGGCAGTGAACCACAATCTCCCAACTTCTTTTTGTTTTGAGTCAGGACCCCACTAAGTTGCCCAGGGTTAGTCTCAGACTCACCATCTACCTCCAGCACCTCTCAAACCTGTGACTCTCCTGTCTCAGCCTCCCAAGTAGGTTGGATAATAGACCTGCACCATCAGGACTGGATGCCTGCCTCGTTTTCTTTCTTTTTCTTTAAGTTTATTTTTGTTTTGTCGGTATGTATATGTCTCAGAGCCCCTGAAATGGGATTTACTATTTGCAACTGTGTGCTGCAAATTGAACCTGGGTTCTTTGGAAGAGCAGCCAGTGCTCCTAACCACCGAGTTTCCTCTCCAGCACCCGCATGTCTGCTTTGCAATCTGCCCCTGCAAAGGCACCTAGATCCTGGGATGGAAACCCCTGGGGGTTGACTGTCATGCCCCTGAAACCCTGCGGCTTCCAGCCTGGAGTCTTCAGTTTCTCATCTGTCTGATGAGCTCAGTGTTACATGTGACAGTAGGACCACATGACTAGGACTGTGCTTACTGCCGCACTGCTGTGCTTACATGACAAGGCCCGGATACTAGGGAAGAGCAGTGGTCAGCGCAGGCAGGACAGGGCAGCCAACACAGTCTCCAGAGTCATCTAGGTCATCATCTGAATACCAGGACAGGACAAGCCCTGGGACCAGCACTGGCCAGCTCCCTCCAGTCTTTGCTCCTGCCTTGCCACACCAGCACTCCAGAAGATACCATACAGAAAGCATCCAGGAAATACCCCGTGAACTATAGTGGCAGAGAGCAGGCTCACAGAGGGTACTCATCAAAGACTCCGATGTATTTCCCAACGTGAATCCAGAATACAGAAGTGCTCAGTGATTGGTCCCCGAGCTGTCCCTGACATGGAGACAGCAGCATAGAGAAGGTACTTTACAAACGTTCCATCTGCTGTATCAGCAGAGACCTGGCATACAGAAGGTACTAAATGAATGTCCTGGAGACCTAGGATTGATCCAGCATACAGAAGGCACCCAATAAGACCTTAAAGAATCATGGTGCATAAAGTCCTTTGTACTGTTCATTTTGGGGGAATGCACAGTAATAATTGTGTGTGTGTGTGTGTGTGTGTGAGTGTGTGTATGTGCACATGAACCGGCATGTGAACACCAGAGCGGGATCCTAGGTGTTTCTATCATCCTCTATTTTGTTACCTCGAGATGGTCTGTGTCTAACAGGCTTGGTTAGACTGGCCACTGAGATGTCAGGATCTGTCTGTCTGCGCCCCCTCTCCCAATGCTGGCATTACAGACGTGTACAACCATAACCGACTTTCAACATGGGTGCTTGGGATTACTCAGTCTCAGGTCCTTGTACTTTTATACCCACTGAGCGTTTCCTCAGCCTACATAACTGGGGTCTTGAGGGAGGATATCGAAGTCTTTGGGCAGCTGCCTCCCTCTGGTGGTAGATGCTGGGCAAAGCTCCAGGGGAAACTTGAGCACCTCTGGTCAGAGAACACTGCACAGCTAGCTGTCTGTTGGGCTGGGAGACAGGTATAGACCCGGGACACCTCTTCCTGGCCCTGCAGAGTCTCAAGTGTTAGCTGGGCTAAAGGAAGTGCCCCTCACACTCCTGTCATGGTAGATCCAGGTTCAGAAGCCACTGGGCTGGGGTCAAATCCTGTGCCACTTGGTGGTGTCATTTCTCTGCTCCAAACTGTGCTGTGTGACAATAGAGGGACAAAGGCATTTTGAAGGGCCCAGACACCAACATAAATAACCAAATGCTTGCTTGCTTATTTATTTATTTATTTATTTATGAGACAAGGTCTTAATATGTAGCCCTGCCTGGCCTGGAACTCTCTATGTAGTCCAGGCTGGCCATGAACACACAGAGATCTTCCTATCTTTGCCTCCTGAAGGTATAGTGTGTGTTGTGTGCATCTGCTTTGTATATAGGTGTCGGAGGCTAAGAGCACATCAGATCTCCTGGAATGAGTTCTAGGTGGTTGGGGACGGGATGCTGTGGGTGCTGGGAGCTGAACTTGGATGTTCTGCAAGAGCAGCAAGAACTCTCAACCACTGAGCCATTTCTAGCTCCAGGAATTCTTATTTTTAAGAACACTTCATCCCAGCACTTGGGATGCAGGGGCAGGAGGATTGAGTATTGAGGCCAGCCTGATTTATAGAATGAGTTCTAGGATAGCCAGGGCTCTGTCTCAAGAAACTATAAAATAAATATATATATATATATATATATATATATATATAGATAGATAGATAGATAGATAGATAGAGAGAGAGAGAGAAAGAGAGAGAGAGAGAGAGAAAGAGAGAGAGAGAGAGAGAGAGAGAGAGACTTAGGTCTAAGAATGAGGCCGCATGCTTGCATGGTTTGTGTGTGAGCCAGGCATGGTGATGTGTGTCTGTTAATCCAGCACTCAGGATGTCCCTGCTTCTACCCCCTGAGTGATGCAGGGATTACATACGTGAGCCAATTACACTAGTTTATGAAGTCCTGGGGGCGGAACTCAGAGCTTTGCACCTGCTAGGAAAGCACTCAACCGAGTTATAGTCCAAGCCCCAATAAAGTTTTCTTTCTTCCCCAAACTAACATCACATTAAAGATTAGACATGAAACATTTAGCAGTAAAAATGTTTAACTTAAGGCTGAGGAGATGGTTCGCTAGCTTAAGTGTGTGCTGCACACGTATGAGGACCTGAGTTCATATCCCCAGAACCAATGTCAAAGGCTGGTGCCTGTAATGCCAAAACTTTCCGTGAGGAACTGAGGAGGCCAGACAGGCAGATTTCTGAGGCCCACTGGCTAGCCAGCCAGCCTGGTTGGAGAGGCAAGCTTTGGGTTCAGTGAGAGACTCTGTCTGAAAATAAGGGAGGAGTGTGATTGAGGCAGCCACGTGATGTCACCTACTGGCCTATGTGTGCACACACAGAGCAAGCACCAATGCATGTACCACACAAGCATACACATGTAATTTAAAAAAAAAAAAAAACAACCTGTAATACCCTGAAAGGGAGCAGGAAGGAGAGAGTAGCGAAGCTGTTCCGGTGACAAGCTGGCCTCTGGCTTCCTTGGCTAGGCTTTCTGAAACCCTGCCTCTCATTGCAGGTTTATGAATGACCGAGTCCCAGCGCACAAGAGGTACCAGCCCACAGAGTATGAACATGCAGCCAACTGTGCCACCCATGCTGTGAGTTGACTTACGGGGTGCTGACATGGGGACTCTTCAGGGTGGGGGCAAGGAAGGCACTCTCCCTCTCTATGGTGTATATGTTGTCAGTGTGTATATAAGCAGGTGTCCACAGAGATCTGAAGAGGGGGTCAGATGCCCTGGAGCTGCAGTTACAGGCAGTTGTGAGCTGCTCAGTGTGGGTGCTGGGATTGAACCTGATCCTCTAAAAGGGTACTGACGGCTGGATGGTCGTGACAGTCTCCTCCTCCTCCTCCTCCTCCTCCTCCTCCTCCTCCTCCTCCTCCT